GCTCTAATGAGGGCTCCACTTTTTAAGCTCAATATTCTAGTTCAAAAAACCAGGACTAGCAATTGAAATGCCGATTCCCACTGTAAGACGAAAGTATAATAACTGATCAACCACAAATTGTTTTCATTTAATGAAAGTTTTCATTTCAAAAAAGTGGTTTTCTGAGCTCTGTGTTTTTTTCTCTAAATACTGCGTTTTTGTTAATACTGAGGTACCGGTCCCGTTGTAAACGAAAAATCAGCAATATTGAAAAATTTTTAAAAAAGGAATTTTTCTCAAAAAAAAACTCTTTCTTTTTGAAGGTCAAAAAATAATTACTAAATAAAAGCTTAATAATTGAGCACCAGTTCCGCTAAAAAAAACAGAAACTTTCAAAAATTCATTAACAAAAAAAAACTTTTCTCTTTTAAACTTATTAAAGCATTTTTTCGCGATAAGCAAACAAACTTCGGCAATCTCCAGAGATTAGTTGAAAAAATTAAGACAATCATATTTGAAGCACTAAAAGATTTCAGAGCTTTTTTTAGAGCTCAGACTTGAAAATTAGAGGTTAAAAAATGAAACTCAAAAAGCAATTATTCTCAACTAAACTAAACAACCACTGGCCTTCTTTTTTAAACTCTGAAGATATGTTGAAAATTAGATGTTAAAACTTGAATCGCCAGTCTTGTTGAACAATGAACCAGAAAGCAACTTTTCTCGAAAACTTTAGGATTTCTGATCTTCTTTTTGGACCTAAAAAACCAGAGTTGAAAACCAGAAGTTGAAAACTGAGCCACCCGGTCTTGTTTAGAATCAACCAGAAACAAACAATTGAAGAATTAAAAAACATTGAAGAAACATATCTTTAAAAACAACAAAAAGGTTTTTCTCCAAAACCAGAAGAGCTACTTCCTTTACGAAGCTGAAACTTTAAAGTGAAAATTGAAGGTGCCAAATTGAGGCACCGATGTCAGTGAAAAACAATAGGATCACAATCAAAAGGTCAACATAAAAATCTCTAAATAACAATTTTTCTCGAAAACTACATGCGTTGGGGGCTTAAAATAGAAGCTCCCTATAATAGTTTGAAATCAGGATTAACAACTGAGGCACCGGGTCCCGTCAAAATTAAATAAATGAAGAACTATCAAACAAGTAAAAAATCAGAAATAAACTTTTAAACTTTATTTTTAAAAACATAGAAGTGCAGTGACATGTATTCTTTAAAACTACTAAACCAGTAACCAAGTTTCTGCTTTCCAAATGATCATCGCAAGTCATTTAAAAAATAAACCAGACAAAAATTTGATATAATTTTCACAGTGAAAATTATATTGAAATAAAACTGCTTTACGATAAAAGAATCTCTAACAAGAAGCTCAAGGCAAAAAACCCTTGCCGAGCTCAAATTTTTGATGACAGCGTCAAAAATTAGAATATCTAATTTTTTAAAAACAATTGAGGAAAAGCTTAACAAAATAACTATTTTTCTCTTTCAAAAAAGTAGGTATATCTCTCAATTCCAAAAAAAGAAACATTTTTTTTGAGTAAGACTATACAACAAAACTTAACAGTGGCGCAGACATTAAGCGTAAACATTTTGCAGAGCAAGATAACACTAAGATGATTAATCAACACAAGATCCAGTTTATTTTTATTTTCAGCACATTTAAAACAATTTTTCCCCAAAATGAAGAAGGTACCGGGGGTCATTTGTATAGTAACAAAAATGAGATAGATGAGGCCAATTCAGCGAGTATCGGGTGTTTTTCTGAAAAAAAAAAACGTTTAATGATTTATACATCAAGCCGATTCAACAGTAGAGCAAATCGTATAAATAAAGTTAGCAAAGTTTAAACTGTGAAAAACAAACAAAAAAAATCACTAGTGCTTTCTAAAAACCATCAATGCAAGAAGAATAAACGGAAAAATCAGAAGAAAACTTTATTGAAATTACATGCTATAACCAGATATATCACTAAGCAAAAAAGTATAAAAGGAAAAAACAGTAGAAAACTTCCTGCTATAAAAAAGCTATATCACAGAATATCTAATTGTTGCATAGAAGACAAATATCCCCGGGTTGTTTTTTTTTTTAAAAAGGTTGAATGGCTGCGAAGCTTTTATTCTAAAAAAACACATTGCGAGGAATTTTTGAAAAGAAAACAAAAACTTGCCAAATTATAAATTGAATCCAAAAGGAACAAACTAAGGCAAAGCTTTTAAGGAAAAAACAACCAATTGACTGCAAATCTTTTTTCAGCAAAAAAAAGGAAAAACAATCCGAAGGCTAGAAAGAGTATTTCAATCTATTTGCACAGCATAGGTAAGTAAAAAAAAACTGTAGCTGTAACATGTAAAGATAAAATTCTTAACTATATCAACATAGGGACTTCTTAAATATGGCTGGAAACGTCTCGCTAAATTAAATAATAGATTGGTGTAAACTTGGCTTTAAAATAAAAAAAATGCATCACTTCATATGCGTTGATGCTTAAACAAGTAAATAAAGCCTATATTTCTTCAACATGCACTTTGGACCTTAACATGGCTGAAACAGTCTCACTCCAAGCTCCAAATTGGAATTGGAATTGAAAACAAAACTTGAATACTCAGGCACCGGTCTCATTGAAAAACATCATCAAAATTCAACAACGAGTTTCTGAAGTCCATTTTTGAAAAATGAAAAAGCAATTTTTTCTCGGAAACTACGCGAGTTGCGGGCTGAATTTAAAAACTGCCCAAATGGTTTAACTTCAAGATTAACAACTGAGGCACCAGAACCTGTTATAAAACGAAAACATAGAAATTAGTTAAATTTCGACAAAAAACGCGTTGATGCTTACCCATGTAGAGCTAACGTATATTTCTTGATGAAATTTTTTCTTGGAGCCGACCGGCACATCTTCGACTGTCATCGAATTTTTCCGCTCGCAGTCAGCAAACTATTTTTAAAATTAAAAAAAAACAAATAGTTGATAACGGAAAGCTCGCCTCCAGATAGTTAAGAAAAATAGCAACCTACTTTTCAAGATTTTCAATTTTATTTAATAAACAATTTTTCCGATACTTCACAAGTTTTAAAACCGTTTTATCGCGGATAGAATGAATCAGTATGTTATACTCTCTAAGCGCTTCTTCGTACTTCTCCATTCTCTCTTTGTAGTAAGCTTCAATAAACTTCGAGAACATGAGCTCCTTTCTCATTTCAGCAGTCTTCATTTCACTTTCCAATCGTTTTGCGTGAGCTAAATAAACTTCCAGATTCTCTGGCTTTTGGCCTTCGTTTAGTGATTCTAGTTGCAGAAAAAGAAAGTCGTTGATTATTTCGACAAGCTGTAAATCGCTGTCCAACTCGTCTGTTAACGACAAAAAGCTTCCACCGCTGTCATAAAAATCGCGGGATAGTTCTCCGTAAATTTCAAGAGCTTCGTGTACAAATTGAGGAAACTTCTTTTTGTTTTCATCAGCTGAGCTTGACACGTTCGCTGCAACCCGCAGGTACTTGGCTATAAACTTCAAAGCCAAGCGATTAAACGAATACTGTTCGCAGGTTTCTAACGCTTCCCACGCTTTTGATTTCCTTAATGCGCATACTCTCGAAGCACAAAATAAAAGTCCATTCAGGCCCAGTTCTATGTTATCCTCGCTAATCGTCAACAATGACATATAGAATGTGAGATTTAACACCAACATATCCTCAGAGTTCTTTTTCAATTTTTCACAAATTTGAAGAGCCGAAGACAAACATTCTTTTGCTTTTCGGTACTCTTTACTGTTGAAAAGCTGGATGGATTTCATTTGCAACAAAAAAGCTTGTAGTTTTTCTGACAATGATTTTTCTTCCAGCCATCCATCTATATTGAGTACACTAGCTTTTTCAGGGTCCGATTGAAAATATTCTATCTTCATACGCATCAAAAAAGGTAGTTCATCCTTGAGTTGCATGAAACCAGGGAGCACCAGTTTACGTCTTCGATCCGCTTTTTTAACGCACCAGACGCCATAAGTCAATAAGAGAAAGCCACCTAGAATTGGTGCATGAAACCTGACGAACTCAACGCGTCCAATGTCCTTGCGATAATAGTTTCCACTAAAAGTTAGTTTTTCTAATCTGGAGCTTGCATCCGAATAAATCTTTCGAAAAGAGCCCAAGCATTTCAAGTAGATCCTTAGCATGGTGTCTTTGAAAAATTTACAAACGGTTATGATGTGTGAAAAGTATAAAGGTAACAAAAATTAAACCGAGAGTCGCCCGTCAAAAAACCTGACCAATTGAACTGAGCCCAATTTAACATTTAGTTAATCCTAAGTCCATGTACCTGAACAAATATCATGGTAACCTCAACAATTATCATAGTGAGAACGCATCTGGAATACGCCAATCAATCGTGGAACCCATTTCTGAAAAAAAAGATGATTGAAAAGGTTCAGCGAAGGGCAACCAGATTAATCCCAAGCTTATGCAAATTAGCTTACTATGAAAGATTGAAAAATTTGAAGCTTCCTACCCTGGAGTACAGAAAAAAATGTAGGCGTATGACAGGGGTACAAAATCTTGAACTGTGTTTATGATGTAACAGCAACTGGGATGTTTACAAAAAATGAAAGAAATTCTCATTTAAATCCGGGAAAATTGATAACAAGAAAGTCACGAACATGTGTGACATTCGACCAGAATGGCCAAAATGCAATTTATGCAGGATTCGAATTTTGAGCAGTAAGCCTTCCGAGTTGATGATTTCGAAGGATTAGCGACGTTATTGGAACGTTTAGCCAAACGGTGAGGGCTAGAATATTCTAGTATTTTAAATTTTCAAAAATTCGAATGATGACGTCACGTTTCTGAGAAATGCTGAAACGGCCATTTTAACAAAAAAGCGAGTAAAAAACAGAACAACTTTTATCTGCGATTGCGAACAGTACGAAAATCGAGATTGGAAAACGACAACGAACTACAGAATAGCAGAGAACGCTCCGAGTTGCAACTATTGTGCTGCTACAATAGCCACTTTTAGCCTAATTGTTGTGATAAACTTATTAAATAGCTTCAGGAGAAATGCGTAGAAGCAGGAGGGGCAACCGTGGTAGCCCCCAGACTGACGATGCGGATACGTCCTGCTCACACAGACCGTGCCAAGCAAGCGGTGATCAATCTCGAGACTGGGTACAGTGTGATGAATGCAACTCCTGGTCTCACTCGATCTGTGCTGGGCTACCAATAGAGAATGCCAGCTTATACAACTACAGCTGCCCAAACTGCCGACGCAAAGACACCAAACGCATAAACTGTCCTGGATGTAGCATGTCTATTGTGGTTCAGAAGAATGGTTCTCTACGCGTCCATGGACCAGTGGGAAGTCGGTGCCCGTATTCCAACAAATCCCCATCTGAAGAACGTGAACACAGCGCAACTGCTACAGACCCCCACTCTTTCACTTCTCAGGATTTCATCAAAGCGGTGAGAGCTTTCCAGTGCAAAACTGTCAAGTATGTGCCAAAAGCTGCAAGGTTTCTTTTTGCACAAACTCTTAACAAGGTTTTGCGAGATATCCTCAACGACCCTGACAATAAAATGGCGTGGGTTCAACTTTTCACGGCTGCGTACAGATGCCTGAAAGCTCCCGCACGCGCCGGGTGTGCTAAGAAGACCAGTTTAACAACATTGATAAAGCGACAAATCGATGCTTTTAGCGTAGCAGATACCCTCATTATTCCTGAGCCGGCCCACCGTAGTCCTTCTGCAGGGAAAAACACAGATGCAGAAAAACTTGCAAGGCTTGTTTGTGAAAAGATTAATGAGGGGAACATCAAAGCTGCCGTTAGAATAGCTTCCTCGGATAAGTCTGTTGTCCCCCCAAGTGACAAAAGTGTCAAAATCCTGGAGAAAAAGCATCCTCCTCCTGCACTGGACAGACAGCCATTCCCACAGTGCCACCAGTATGAACCCCTGCAAGTGACTAGTTCTGCAGTTCACAGCGCTATCCAGAGTTTCCCCAATGGCTCAGCAGGTGGACCCAGTGGTGTCCGACCGCAACATATCAAAGACGCCCTTTCTTCACATTCCATCGACGCAGGCAACACGTTCCTGGACACTCTTACGGATTTTGTCAATTTGATGCTTGCTGGCAAAGCCCCAGATTTCATTAGACCAGTTTTTGCGGCAGCCAACTTGACGACGCTTGCCAAAAAAGGAAAAGTAGATGACCTGAGGCCCATTGCTGTGGGAGAAGTCTGGCGCAGGATTGCAGGTAAATGTGCTGGTCAGTACGAAACAGCGAGGTTCAAGGAGTTTTTCAGTCCCTTTCAACTTGGTGCTGGTGCGAAAAATGGTGCCGAAGTTGCGGTCCATGCTGCTCGCTCCTTCTTCGAGTTAGCTTCAGACGATGACGTTTTCCTCAAGTTGGATTTCAGCAATGCTTTCAACACCATGCGTCGTGACAGTATTGCTTTTGCTTTCGAAGAGTTTTGCCCTGAGCTTTTGCCTTTTTTCAACATGTGCTACGAGCGGGAGAGTTTCCTTGTTTATGGTGACCACACTTTGCTATCGAGAGAAGGTTTCCAACAGGGGGACCCAATTGCGTCTTTTGGTTTCTGTCTCGGAGTGCATCGCTGTCTCACTGCAATCTCATCCAAGTTCAAGGTCGGTTACATGGACGACATCAGTGCTGGAGACAAGTGGCAGATAGTTTTGCGTGACCTCGCCAAGTTCATTGACAGTGCCAAAGGTCTCGGGTTAAACCTCAATAACACCAAATGTGAAATCACTGTCTTCACTCAAGACCAGCAAAAGAGCGATATGATTTTACGTGAATTCAGACGTGTCTGTCCTGGTATCAGCAGCGTGAGCACCGAAGACGCTGAACTGCTAGGAAGCCCTCTGGGCCATGCAGCTTTACAGCATGCATTGGAAGAGAAGAGAGAGAAAATCGAAAACCTCTGCAAGAATCTTCCGTTACTGCCTTCACACGTCGCGTTTTTCCTGCTCCGACATTGTTTTGCCATGCCTAAGCTCATGTATTTGTTCCGCACTGCTCCTACTTTTGTTTTTATGAACTCTGTTGAAAAAATCACCTCTTATATCCGTGGAGCTGTTCAAACTGTCAGTAACATTCTGATTACCAACAGAGAATGGGATCAGCTCACATTGCCTATCAAACTCGGTGGTCTAGGCTTACAGTCACCTTCGGACCTTACTTTGGCTGCCTATATTTCGTCTACACTCGCCACCAGTGAAGACGTCTTCAAAGTCATTGCGTCTCAATACACCAGCAAGTCCTTCAAGAATGCCATTGAACTGTGGTCTGAAACTGTTTCTCCTGATATGCCACTGGAAGACAAGCATAAGTGGCAGAAAAGCTGGTACACTCCTATTGTTTCTCGTAGGCGGTCGTCTCTCCTAGCTAACACCACCTGTGACAGTGACAAAGTTCGTTTACAAGGATGCTCTGTTCCCGGTTCCGGAGACTGGCTTGCTGCTATTCCGTCTGATACGCTCGGTCTCCAGCTGACTGATGACGCTTTCAGAATTGCTACGGGACTTCGCCTTGGTGCCCCCCTTCTTTTTTCATGCAACTGTGCATGTGGCACTAAATGCGACAGCCAAGGCATTCATCCACTTATATGCCCGAAAATCAAAAGTCGTTTCATCAGGCATCAACTTGGTAATGAAGTCATCAGAGACGCGTTGAAATCAGCAGGAGTACACAGCAAACTCGAGCCGACCGGTATGCTGCGTGACGATGGTAAAAGACCAGACGGTGCTACTTTAGTTCCATGGAAAAATGGCGCAGCTTTAGTCTGGGACTTTACCTGTGTAAACCGACAAGCACAGTCAAATCTATCAACAGGCCTCGAAGATGGTCCCACTGTTGCTAACCATGCTGAATTTCGTAAGCGCCAACACTATTCTGGTCTGCCACGCAACTGCATGTTCGAGCCCATCGCCGTGGAACATCTTGGTGGCATCGGAAGCTCGACATACAAAACTCTATCCTCTATTTCCTATAGAATCAAGACGACCACTGGTGAGAAAAGGTCATTCACGTTCCTCAAACAAAGACTCGGCATTGCACTGCAACGCGGTAATGCTGCCTGCTTACTGGAAGCTTTAGAAGTTAACTCAACGGGCTATAAGCCAACTGCTTTTTAACCTTTGCTGTTTTTACAACTATTGAATTTGTTTATCAATTAAAAAAAAAAAGTCTAATTTCACGCTAATAAGGTGAGGCAAAGCCGGCTTACAAAAGCTTATTTATGCTTAATTTATGCCGTGAAAACTCAAAAAAAAAAAAAAAAAAAAAAAAAAAGTTGCAAGGCCGTTGCCAACAACGGTGAAGGGTGAGAACCAGCCTTCCGGATTAGCAAGAAATCAAGAGTAAGGAGCTTGATTCAGCGGATTCAAGAATCCGGAAGGGTCTCGGGACGGAAACTTTTATTAACTCACATAAACTTTTAGCATCCTGTCATGTCCTGACTTGAATTTAACTGATATTTTGATTAGTTTTGACAAGGATGAGGTGCTAGGAGTTGGGGGAAAGGGTTGATCCATCTTCGATGGAGATGATGATTTTTATCTACTGAACAAAAACAATAGTAATATGATAAGTAGTAGCCCTGTTTTTAGGAGTGACCTCGTGGTCTGGGGATACAGAGACCCAGCCATGAGCTCACTAATTTCGCATGTAATTCAGTTAATTTGAGCGTTCTGGTCGAAGCCGGAGAACAGTAACGTTTTTGTCAGCCTGATGTAAGAAAGACCACCGAAAAGTACTGGCTTGGTAGAGACGGTGAAAAACATGCAAAGCTCTGTTTAGACGCTAGCCAGTCGTCTTAAGACTTAGTTTTGTTATCCGTCGATATGTATCTTCCGGGCGAATGTTACATGTATGTTTTTATGGCGCTCCTGGGTGTTATTCTTTCATAACATCATGACCGGCGGAACCGTTAACGAGCACTCCGCGCCGAGCGGATGCTCACATTAACGCCCTTAATAGGCCTAAACTGCCGGGGCGGAAGGGTAGTTCGGAACGCGGAAGCCTTCCGGATTACCGTGAATAGTTTTTTAACCTAGTTAAGACCGAAAATTCACGAACCAGGAAGGGTGGGGGGAATCATGAACCCCTCATCCCCTGAGTGGTTTGTGACCAAAAACACTTAAAGATATCAGCAAAACCAAACAAAAAGTAGTATAGTACCCAAGAAAAACAAAAAACATAAAAAATAACCGAAAAAACCAAAAACAGTAAAAAAGTAAAAAATCAGTAGAAATCATCCCCCCAGACAAGATGTGATTCAACCCCCCCGTTTGTTGTTGATAGATATATTGTTGTTACAGGCATTTATATCAGTCAGGATCGTTACGATCAATTTTGTAGCCCGTTTGTGAGGCTTGTACTGTAGGGTTATTTGAGCATTTAAGCACGTTAATGATAAATTGCGCTCAATCCGGAAGGGTCAGCTGATTTGCGCTCAATTCGGAAGGGTCTTGGGTGAAGACCGATCCGGCAAGCAGTTCAAGGAGCAACAAGAAGGGGCTCAACGACAACAACAATCGACTGTTGGGTATCGTTAACAAGTTTTGTATCTCTTTTGGTACAAAAAGTAAGATAGTAATCTGTGGGGGGCTCGACAGTGCTGCACTGTAGTGACCCTTCACCGAACTGCGAATATCCGAGTTAAGCACCTTAATTCGGATAATAAACAAACCCGGAGGGGTATAGTATTACTAATATTATTATTCATATAGCCTATATTAATAGTCACATATCGTTTTTCAGTGAAAAACAACGAAAACAGACCGGTTTTTAGGGTCAAAATAGCGATATTTTGATCCCCCCACAAGTCGCGATTTTTGAGAGATCGATATTTTTTGAAACGGAAAAAAGCGCTAAGTTAGTGTGTTACATCGTAACTGCACTACTGTAATAAGTAGAACCGGTTAACTTTAGTTCGGAAGTGGTTGGAACTAGTTTGGTACCAAAAACCAAATTTTCCCAATTTTTGATAGTAAGAAACACTAAAAATTTAGAAAATTTTTTGAAATTTT